CTAACCCTAACCCTAACCCTAACCCTAAGAGATACAGGACCCGGTTCCGATAACCAAAATACCCCGTAGTGCGTTAAAGGCGTGTCGGATAACGTCGCTGAATTGCGGCAGGCCATTAACGAGTTCTATGGTATGCCTGTTTACAAGGCGAAGATACGTAAGCGAGCGCAGGTCGAGCTGGTGGAAAACCTCGTGAAGAATTTCGATGGGAAGGAATTCAAGGGCGCCGGCACTTGCTACAGGTTCGTGACGACGGGAGGGTCTGGGCGTTGTCTCAAGGTTCGAGAGGTTATCATCCAGTGTGAAGTCCTTGATCCGCCGTTGTGTGCACGTGAGGCCCTCCCATCTCGCTGGCGTTTTGGCCGTCATGGCTGTCGCTTGTGGCGCCGGGAGCTTGATAATACCAGACATAGAGCCGCTACGATTCAAGAACACGAGCAGCCAATCTGTGACAGGGCAGTTATCGCTTTCGTGTTGGTAGATAGACAAGGGGTTGATGTCCTTAACCGGGTTAACCACAACTTGATATTGGATGTCGACGAAAGTGCTGCAGTCGCTAAATGCTGATGGTAACTTGTTTGGGCTAGTCGCAGTTAGCAGAACGCGAGACGCGCCTGCAACGCGATTTGAGCCTGAGGTGCGAACTGTCCAAGCTGCATTGTTCCCCACATATCCCAAGTGCCGTCCAAGGCAGGTTAGGGTTAGGGTTAATCCAACTTGCGGCTGGATTTGAATGGTGATGAAAGCACTGAAAATTACAGACTTTGATAAGGTTAAGTATCAGTAAAGGTAATTGTATCTAATTAAAGTAGACATGGAACTTTCTCAAATACTGCTCCTCCTCTCTCGTAAAGGTCCCGCCAGTGTTCAAGTGTATTTCGCGACTGGAACTTCATGCAGTTGCCCTCCCGCCCAAGTTCGAGTCAAGTGGGCAGACTCGTTGGGCTGTAACTTGATCCCAAATGCAGGCGCACAAGAAACACTCCAATTATATGTAACTCTCCCCAATGCACGACGGTAGGCCTCAGAGCATCAGGAATGATTCGTGCTTCCCACTGGATCAAAACGCGATGCCCTGAACAGCTGCCTTGGACAAACAGAGCCTGGGGCGTTCATTGGGTTTGGGATATTCGCGTTTGTTCTCCTGTCTTTTTTTTCTTCTCACTTTTGGGCGCTTGGTTCTTCCGCCTTCTTAACCTTGGCCAACCGGCCTACGGTAACGTATCTTATCAGCGAGCTGCGCATATCACCGAGCTGCGCACGCCCCA